ACAGAGGCAGACACTAATTTCAACCAATCAAGCATTCGTCTCATCTAAAATTAAATAAGACTCTACCTTGGCCATGCGTCACAGCATATGCTAAATCACCACCGTCTTCGTACCAGCCCTAAGTGCATACAGATATGGTTATTTTAGAAGTATTTTTGTTACAATATTGCTAACTGCTGCAGTAAAAACAGTACGTTCTCACTAATTCATTCCAGTGCTCGAAATGGTAACAGGCCCAGGGATATTAATGGAACGCAATGAGAATAAATTTCCCTCGATATAGTAAGATGACGTGCGACACGTCCATACGTTTCCACAACATGGATTCTGAAAGATGATGCATAACACAGCTTCACAGAGGTTGACAGTCGACTAATTCTTCAAACGGATTGACGAGTATTCGATATGGATCTGGAATATATTACTATCGGAAATCACTCTAACACACGCCACACATCTTCTGAATATTTGTAAGAGTTGATATACACTGATGAGTCGAACTATATCGGAATAAAGCTACCTTTAATCTTCGGAAATTTATGACAGGGTTGAGGAATATGTGAATAGACAACATTTTGTCTGAAAGCATTTTGGTCAGATAGGCGACATATTTCGTTCCGTTTTACAAGATCAAAGAGCATATTACATGCCATCTCATGGAATTGTTGTAAAGGGTGCATACGAATGCAAACAAAGGCACGTTGTATGAGTATATACAATCACTTAAACCTTCACAATCTGTCGAGAAGACACAGGCTGATTACTATGCGGATATCAGGAGCAATTATATCGGAGGGCCAGGGAATTTGTGAGGGGATGGTCCGTTTAATCAATAGTCTGTAAAATGGCTACTATTGACAGTGGACTTTATGATTTAGCAGCCTGTGAAGATCCGGGTCAGAATTGGTCTTCAGCAATCCATGTCAGTAGTAAGAGGCGACTAACGGAATAGGGTTGTCAGCCCCGCTCACTTGTCTGGTACAAGTCATCTTATTCCAGTTGAGTAGGCCGATGAACATGATGTGAGTCACTGGATCTTCTGGTCCAGACACGTTTATTTACAGACAGCCGATATAGTACTGGAATATTGCTGGTTGCAGTGTTAACAAGCAAGCAAACATAAAAATTATCAAAACTGACAGAAGTGAATTGTTCACGACCAAACACAAGCCAAACCAGGCAAGGGACCGCAACCTACAGATGGACCCAGTTGGAAAACACTAGAGCAACACTAAACTCGATTATCCGACGAAACCGATGTCATCGGCTGTAAAAGAACTCGAGAAAACAATAATAAGAAATGCTACCACTTTTTAAAAAAACCTATCCGTCCAGAGAAATACAGAAAATGTGAACAAAGATAAATTCGGTAACAAATTATAGGGTTAGTTTCTTTACCCCATTGGTTTGTGTTTTTATTTATCACTGAAACCAGTGAAAACAACTTCGTTGAGCAAAGGGATTGTAACATTTTTTACTCATTTCTTACATTTGATGTAGACGGAACAATGTAATGATAAAACGTCATCATGTAAAAACACGTTAAAAAAGCCGAAACATTTATCGATGAACGGGAACTAGGACATCGACCTCCAACTCGACTGTTCAATAAAAAACACGTTAATTGTGGGCGGTATGGTGATGTGAACATCTGATCAATTTCAGTACATCCGATCGGAATCTCTAAGACATGTCGTCGATAGAAGTGAATAAATCACACTGCTAAACCCTCCGAGTAGTCAGACTGGCTTTCCAAATGTACAGCCTTGGTTTGCTAATTGGTTTGCTTCTTTGTTGTTTAAGGTCACACTAAGAAATCGTTCATCTATGTGACGGCGGTCTGTAAATAATCGAGTCTGAACCAGACATTGCAGTGATGGACATCATAAGCAATTGGGATACGATGACATCTGTCAACCAAGTCAGCGAGCCTGACCACCCGATCCCGCTAGTCACCTCTTACGACAAGATTGGGTTGCTGAAGATCAATTCTAACCCGGATCGTCACGACCGTGTCTGTTGCCTGTCATATATGGTACCTGAATGTTGTGCTCTGTGTGTGTTGAGTATTTTTTTTTACCACCTTCAAAATCGCACGTTCCATTGTTTTCAGTTGTTGCTGTCCATTTAAGCAGCTTCAACGGATCATTGTGACGGGACCACATTGTTTCTTTCACTGTTATCATGTTGTCGGCCTCCCAGGCCTACTGTTGCTATGTGTTTAAGTATGGCACGCTGCTGTTGATAACTGGATTGTCTGGTCCAGACATGATTATGTACAGACCGCCGCAATATAACTTGAATATTGCTGACCGTTGTGTTAAACAACAAACAACCAAGTAAATAAAACATACGTAGGTGATCAACTAATATTAACCTTGAGTATAAATGGGGCGGTGGGGTAGCCAAGTGGGTAAAGCGTTGGCTCGTCACGCCGAAGACCCGGGTTCGATTCCCCACATGGGTACAATGTGTGAAGCCCATTTCTGGTGTCCCCCGCCATGATGTTGCTGGAATATTGCTAAAAGCGGCGTAAAACCAAACTCGCTCGCTTGAGTATAAATGTCCTGCTATATGACAATGAGTGAGTGAGTATGGTTTTACGCCGCATTGAGCAATATCCTTCGGTGTGACGAGCGAACGCTTTTACCAATAGACTACCCCAACGTCCCTAAATGATAATGAAGGCATACATTGTATGTATGGACCGATGACGGAAATATAAGATAGTGACCTAAATATTTATAATGATCAATATTTATTTTAAATTACCAAATTTAATAAGTACGGTGTCAAGATTATGATTGAACGTGTGTAGGACAAAATAACGAGCAAAAAGTGAAACGGAACCCAAACCAAGGCATGTACAGAACTGCTATATTTCAGCGTGATGGAATGACCGCCTCTTCTACGTATTGATCATAAGAATTCAATTACAGAATGATGGACGTCTTCGGAGAAAATACGTGTATATCGACGTAAAAAACTCTACCCCTCACTGATCAGTGTTAAAAGACATCCCCACACAATGCATTACCCAGAAAAGTTTTTTTCAAAGGTTTGCAAATGTCAGCGCGAGTAATCATAGGGCCAAGGAAGACGGAATCACCTTTAGTGCAAGTGCAATGCATCTAAATCCGCCATTTTGGATATTGCCATTACTCTCGACCTCTCTTAAGCCTCAAATAATCTGTGTCATGCTACTTATAAAGTTAGTTCAAAAGGGCGCAACATGGATCAAAGTTGGTACTTTAATCCTAATTACTGTGAAGTTAATAGCGTTCGTTCGAGATGCTATGATGTGGATTTACTGTCGTGAATAACACGAGGGTCATTAAGTTCATGGTTGGAGGCTATTCGGCTTGTAATGTTGAGAAATTCGATCTCCATCTACCTATGGTACAGCCATTTACGTCGCATACGTAGCTATTAAAGGTATATTGATTTAATTTCCAAGTCGATCGAATCGGAGGTATAGGAGTTCTAATCCGATGCTTCTCGCGACTTGATTAATCTAGAACACACATCTATTTTGTATTAAATTGAAATGTAAGCTTGCCTTCAATTCCGCTTGAAGCGAACAGTTTAGCTCTCTTATATTCGAAAATATTTACATTTAAGGTTGAATAAATAGTTTGCACCAGATGTAACATCGCATATCATAAGGAGGAATTTGGCCATTCTATCACACCATTGCATGTTGTTGAGTTAAGAGGCCTTTGTGATACCTTGGTAAAGCAAAAGAGGTTTTCCAGAATGAAACTAGGTGTGGTGGGATGCGACGTATGGCTCTGTTGGTGCGACTTGCTGATAGTGTAGCATCCTACTGGGGCGTTCATTACATCAATCACTGGTTTGTGAGGTCTTACTCTGAGTAATAATATGATGGAATATATTGCTGAACAATTGAACCGCAAAGTGTCGCACGGTTCCAAAATCAAACTGGGTGTGGTGCGATGCGACGTATATCTTTGTTGGCGAGACTTGCAGATAGTGAAGCATCCTACTCCTGCGTTCCTCATATCAATCACTCTTCCATATCCCTTCCAAAAGTTCTATAAAGATTGATTCCAGTGAAAATACAGCACCTCTACTGCAGTGTATTTTAATTTTATGTTGCGCCATGAGCAGGCACCAAGTGCCTTGGGTTTTGGCGCATAACAAATCAACTGTATTATTATTAATAATATTATTAATCACTGATTTGTCAGGTCCTGCCCTGGCATAAAATAGCTGGAATATATTGCTGAACAATTAAACCTTAAAATGGAGCACGGTTGCTCTATGGCGGCCATCTGAATTATCAGTCTCCATTTTCTGCCGAGACACATTCCTCAGGCCGAAAAGGGAAATATAGTGAAGGAAATGGATCACTGAAAATTAGTGATGACGAGGTGTTCACGAAATGAGTAACCAACCACCATTCAAACAGTATGCATAAAGGGGGTTGTGTTCGTTTCCTAAGCGAAGGTCGCGGGTTCGATCCACGGCCGCGCACACCAAAAGACGTTAAAATATGGTACTTGCTGGTCCCCGCCTGGCGCTCAGTGTGTGTGAGTGGGGTATTCATGCTTAACTGTGGCATGGTATCTCAGTGAGCTAGCACTATAAGTCTGGGCTAGTACAAGCAGCCGCACATGCCCATACACTTGATACACACGCATGCACGTCATCAAATGAGCGACGTTAAACCACATTTCACCTCCCCTCCCCAGCCCGATCTGCTTTTACCTGCAATCCGACGGAGGCCTGTAAACAATGTTAGCTTAACCAGACAATCACGTGATGACCAGGCAATCCAGTGAAATGGAATTTTTGTTTACAAAGATCGTGATGTACTGGGATGGTCAACTTCTCGGCCATCTGCTAAATACAGAACACCATCAGGAAGCTGACCACTCAAAGTATTGTCAACGGCCGGAATCCCAAAGCTATATCCGTCATTAGTCCTATGGTTCTATTTCAATGATGATTTTATACGGAACTATTAAGTGCCTTACCCCATCCGATAATGAGAATGACGACCATCAGAGCTTTTCCGGTCCTGAAGGCTTGCACCATTATAGTGTGGAGGTACAGTCCTTCACAGAACATCCAGGCAAAGTTGGACACGGTACAGTACTGAGCAGTGACATGTAACACTTTACACCAAGCCTGCAACATAGAATTAATATGTGATTAAATGACCACCATGTTAAGCGATAAATATATTTTGAAGTGCATCAGACTCGTTAGTTTCTTGTGACAGACGGTCAAGATGGGAAAGCAACATTAACTGGGTGCGCCTAGTGGCTGCACGAGTTATATACTCCCCAGGGAGTTGAGATTGAAAATACGATGTAGATGGGATGGACTAAAGCACAATATACATATATATATTATTTATGTATATTGTGCTTTAGTCCAAATACATGCTCAAACGCTTTGTTTTTTCCCTCGAGCACTGGATGTCAATCTCAACGGTACATCGTATTTTCAATCTCAACTCCCTGGGGACCATACAACTCGTGCGGCCACTAGGCGCACCCAGGTAATGTTGCTTTCCCATCTTTACTAGGAACCTTGGACACATAGTCACAGAACTTTGTCCAAGTTGTACGGCACGTTGCTGTACCCGCAACTAGGTGTTTGCACGCATTCATGTGGCCACCATCTGGTCATTTACCTACGGATTCGTGGGTTCTTTTAAGTGCACAGGGTTGTGTACTGTACACTAGGGGTTGTGTACTGTACACTAGGGGTTGTGTACTGTACACTAGGGGTTGTGTACTGTACACTGCGGGTTGTGTACTGTATACTAGGGGTTGTGTACTGTACACTAGGGGTTGTGTTCTGTACACTACGTGTTGTGTACTGTACACTAGGGGTTGTGTACTGTACACTAGGGGTTGTGTACTGTACACTAGAGTTTGCACATAAAGTTGACTCCAAGACTGACTGACAGGTAGGCTCGATCTCGGCACCACCAACCTCGCTGGATCACTAGCCTGGCGCCTTAGACAGCTCGCTCACCACGCTCCCCGTTTGTTTTTACTTTGTTGACACCTACGAATATGATGCTACTGTAACAGGGCGAATATAGGATTCAAACCCATGAGTTACCAATCCTGACACAACTAAGGTACGCAACTTTGCACAGCATATTCCTGCTCTTTGGACGATTGGAATGGATAACAAATCGGATATATAGAGAATACTAAACGATCTTCCGTGTAATACCACATTTCCTTTGGTCATGTGACCGAGTGTAAATAGTTCCGGCAGTACGTGATGTTATTATGATTTCTTCAAAGGGTGAGTAATAGATGTTTTTAAACAAAACGCAAACATTCATAACTAGCAAAGTTTGTTTAAGATGGAACATTATCGCTCTTTGATAGTGTTCAATAAAAACCAGAAAATACCCATTCAAATAACTCAAATTAATGCATTTATGATCCATCGTGCCTAGAGGACGAGCTGTCACTGCCTCAAGCCAGAAATGCAAAGCAGCATCGTAATTGGCGTTCCAGAATGTGTCCAGGAAATCATTGAGCTCCTAGAAACATTAATTGGAATAAGAGTGAACAATATTCCACAGAAATTATGTAGATATTCGCGAACACCTGGTGTCATCACTGATAGACATAATTTAGAAGGAGTCGGAAGCGGAATGTGTCCAGTCAAGGAATAATGATCCATTTAGGTTATATTACAGCAAATCATATTCTGTAGTTTAAGAAACACTTTTCGTAGCCTTTCATAAACTTCAGTCCAGGCAGAATCATCTGACAGCTGAAAATTTGATAATTTTGTAAAACATGTTTCGGGTTTTTTAATGTACATTCATCCAGTAATTACAACTGACAACATTTTTCAATATTTAGTGCTGTCCTTTTTAACACAATGACTTGTGCTGAATGGGTGAAGAGATTTTTCGAGTTGGAGACGTTTGGTGCGGAACTGGGGCTGGTGTGTTCAACATCCTGTACTCGGAAATGGAATTGGTTAACCTAGCCATATTTTGTGGCTTTAAGGCCATACTGCGTATATATATTCATCTAATGGCTGATAACGACAAACGTTACAATGGAATTATGTGGGAAAACCTTTGGTTTCGTGTAACCTAATGCATCACACAAATTGTACAAACTTTGTAGTCATCTGGAAGTGGAATAATATTTACTCACAACGGAACTACTGACAACGCCTGTGTCATTTTCTTCCGTAATACCATAAGGTGGTATAATATTTAAGTAAGATGTAAGCTTTACAAGGGGAATGCAGAAGAAAATTAATGGAGCTACATCGTCCTGCGGGGGAACTAAAGGATTTGAAGGATTTATGTTAGCAACCGAATAGTTTCAGGATATTGCTTGTGGAGATCTGCGGCACATATTTTCAGAACATCCGTTTAACATACATATTTCAAATTTTTCCACGTCTCTTTTGTGACAAAAAAATGTTGATAAAAACTTATCAAATAGTGACTTACTATCTCTAATGTCCCAGAGAGATGTTTTTTGTCATTTTTGAATGGTATGTTGGAATGGTATGTAAGCATGTAATGGTATGTAGCGCCCAATCGATCCCATGTATCGCTGTAAAGTGAGTGAATAAGTTTAGTTTTACGCCGCACTCAGCAATATTCCAGCTATATGGCGGCGGTCTGTGAATAATCGAGTCTGGACAAGACAATCCAGTGATCAACAGCATGAGCATCGATCTACGCAACTGAGAACCGATGACAGGTGTCAACCAAGTCAGCGTGCCTGACCACCCGATCCCGTTAGTCGTCACTTACGTCAAGCATGGGTTACTTAAGATCAGTATTCTAACCTGGATCTTCACGGGTATCGCTGTAAAGACTTACCGGGTTTTCCACAAGCACAGTTCCGTCCAGGGTGACCAGGGTGTAGTACAAGATCCACGCTATCCCCGTCAACAGGTAAGAGATGAACATGTTCTTGTGGATGGTAATGCGTTCACATCTCAGCTGTCTGGAAGAAAGAGTGAATGAGTTTAGTTTTATGCAGCTTTTAGCAATTGTCACAGCGTGGTATACCAGCAATCTGCTTCACACATTGTATCCATATGGGGGAATCGAGCCTTGGTCTTTGGCGTGATCAGCAAACGCTTTCAAAAGTAACCTACCCAAAAGCCCATCTGGAATTAGCACGCCTTTATACAGTGACCATCGGTCAGTCTCCCGTGCCCCAAACCAATAAAACATCTTCGACAACTTTCCATTTCCATTTCTGAGGTGAAGTTTAGACAGGAGTGTTAGCGAATGAGTGAGTGTGGTATTACACCGTTTAAACAGTATTCCAACGATATGACCAGATATGAACTGCGAGGAGTGCTCAAGCGGAGATTCGAACCCTGGGCTCCGGCGTGACAAGCGAAAGCTTCATCCACTAATCTACCTCACGCCCTTCGTGAAGATCCGGGTTAGAATTGATCTTCCGTAACCCATGCTTGTCGTAACAGGCGACTAACGGGATCGGGTGGTCAGGCTCGCTGACTTGGTTGACACATCGTTGTCATCATTTGCCATTTGCTTAGTTCGATTCTTATGGTGTCAATCACTGGATTGGTTGGTCCAGACTCTATTATCAATATATACTGGACAAAATAAGTTAGGGATATTGGTACTTTTTTATTGATATTTTATCAGTGTGACAATGAATAAATAGATAATTATTCATAATTTCCAAAATTGCATATATCCCTAAATGTTTTTGTCCAGTATAGTTGGAATATTGGTGAGTGCAGCATTAAACAACAAATATGCGCCTTTGATGAACCCCCTTAACCTTTCCATTGTCGTGCTTTTATCGAGGATACTTACAGAAGACCCGAAGGGAAATAGAATCATGTTCTGGAGATTTTTCAATCGGACATAACATAAATATTTTCGAGGTCAGCGGTGACCTCATCGGACTTGCTCCAGTGTTACATTTACGTTTGAAAGAAAGATATTGAAATAACAGTTGCTACATGTGGGTGTGTAGACCAGAAGATTTATATAGACCTTCATTTGCCGCTAACCAGACGAGCAGGAAAAGCGTAATATGTCACGTTGCCAACGTTGACGGATCAAAATGAAGTCGATTGGTCCCTAAAGTGTAGTTCTTTGCAGTCGTAGGCCTTAATCTTGACAGTAACAAACAGCTATATAGATTACATCGAAACTCAAGCTGGGAACGCTAGGGGAATGTGTTGAGACAATGTCAGCGTGACACGCATTTCACGCATTGTGAAACTGATTAGAGTTATATATCAGACTAGCGTTTAACAATATGCGTCATAAAGGGAAATCGATTTTGTATTATATGAAAAGAAGCACCATATCAAGTAGATCTATTCACGAACTGTATTTCTATCGGAGATTTTTCTGCATATAGGATACCCTAGGGGGCAATGTTGTTTTGGTGGGCCAACAATAATGATATAAAAGGCTACGTGAGAGTGTGAAGGGCAACTTCAGATCTACAGAAACAAAACATACGTTCGTTATTAGCAAAGGGAGTGATTTTAGTTTTACGCTGCTTTTAGCAATATTCCAGCAATATCACGGCGGAGGGCAACAGAAATGGGCTTCACACATTGTAACCATTTGGGGAGTCGAACCCGTGTCTTTGGCGTGACGAACGGACGCTTTAACCACTAGGCTACCCCACCGCCCCTATCCCTATTATCAAAGTAAATTTATCTAACTAAAGATGTAACTTTAAACTCAATAATATCAATAAAGAGCCCCTTAATTTCACATGGAATATTTATGTAACTTCAAAATGCCTTTTCATGACATTCTCAAGCTTTACCATTTACCATAAAAATTTGAATGTGTCTCTCAGGTGACTTCAAAGTACACTTGTTGAATTATGCTATATGGCGGAATAAACACAGTGTGCTCTCAAATCATTCCACGATTTAGTTTGCTGATTACTGTGTGTTGAGTAAGACGGGTTACCGTCTTATGTTTGCGGAATTAACACTGTGCCCCGGCGGACTTACCGCGGTACCTTTATGGAATTAACACTGTGTCCTGGCAGACTCACCGCGGTACCTTTATGGAATTAACACTGTGCCCTGGCAGACTTACCGCGGTACCTTAATGGAATTAACACTGTGCCCTGGCAGACTTACCGCGGTAACTTCATGGAATTAACACTGTGCCCCTGCGGACTTACCGCGGTAACTTCATGGAATGAACACTGTGCCCTGGCAGACTTACCGCGGTACCTAAATGGAATTAACACTGTGCCCTGGCCGATTTACCGCGGTACCTTAATGGAATTAACACTGTGCCCTGGCCGATTTACCGCGGTACCTTAATGGAATTAACACTGTGCCCTGGCCGATTTACCGCGGTACCTTAATGGAATTAACACTGTGCCCCTGGCGGACTTACCGCGGTACCTTCATGGAATTAACACTGTGCCCTGGCGGACTTACCGCGGTACCTTCATGGAATTAACACTGTGCCCGGCGGACTTACCTCGGTACCTTTATGGAATTAACACTGTGCCCTGGTGGACTTACCGCGGTACCTTCATCGAATTAATTCATTCCTCACTCATAATTATCGCGTCATGTCGGAGGATTTAACACAGTGTGCTCGTAAACGTTCCTCGATTAGTTAACAGTACAAGTACGGGATACAGCCTATGTTTGCGGAATCAACACCCTTCACTTACCAGATTATTGCGCTATGTTTGCGGAATTAAGCAGCACGCTTGCGAATTTACCGTGGATTGCCATGATTCTTAAATCACTTTCATCTGATTTTTCTTATAACACCCGCAATAGGTTATTATATAAGAGGATAGGATGTCTCTTACCGACTTCGGACTTATATTTGACATACAGGCATAGATAACGATCAAATGACGTAGTGTTGATATTGATATTCAGCTCATTTAATATTCGCTCGCCGAAGGTGATGATCCAGGTCATTGTTTGTTTGTTAGTATTACGCCACATGACATTATATAACTATATCATAGATGACTCTACATAAGCGCGAAATTACCGCGTTATTTCTGTGGACTGAACACGTTACGACCTTGAAATTAAGAACTGATGAATGTCTATTCTGTCTATTTCGGTGGTGTGTGATTTTGTGCAGGTCAGAAATGAGAGTTTCTAGAACTTCTGTCCTTGCCCACAACGAAGCATACGTGACACATGTGGACTCACCTGGGGTAAGTGAGTTTGTTCAAAATTGTCTCTGTTCACCCAGCAGAAAATGGGTACCAGGTGGGATCATTTATATGCTTATTAACGTTCTAGGCCCAGGCCGCCTGGATTATCCGGGGTGATAATGTCCGTTATGTTGATTGATCTTAAAACATGCCTCTGCTGCGTGGGGTTGAGCCCCATGTAAGTGGCCTTACTGTTATTATTTTAGTTGGCTTCACATGTTCGACTAGTGAATTAGGTTTCCGGAATTACATTATCGTACCGATGTGATATCGAAATTAGAGGAAGCAATGTACAGATTAAGTACTGATAGAAACAATACAATTGTGTTTATGTATCGTGGCTTGTTCATAATATTTCTTTTCAATTCACTCAAATCCGCTTAAATATCATTTCCAGGCATAAAACGCAACAAACAATATAGAAACCACACGAGCCGAAAAAAGCATTAACCAAATAATTGAGCACCTTTTAAATGCCCCGTCAGTCTTTGAGTTCTCGAAAGGGCAACATCTGCATGGCTAACTGAATTCGACTGACTGCCAGATGGGAAAAGGTTTTAAATTATTCAGTTGCTCTTCTGTCAACGAGTAGGTGTATAGGGATACGTTTTAGAAAGTAGATTAAAAGACAACAGGAATGCGCACTTGGATATCCTAACCATTGGATGTTTGTGTCACGAATAAAGTCCTCAGTGCTTGGAGTTTTTGCAACGTGTCTCGTAAAATCACAATACAGTGCTTGTTCCAGTTAATCTTAATCAGCCTGGTAGCGGTTCTCTATTCTTGATAAGTGACTGACAAAGGAATTAGTAAGAGGCTTTGGGCATACTGTACAATGAAAGGGCAACTCATTCTTCTTGTTCAAAGATTTGGCCAAAGGCAATTAGGAAAAAACGGTCCTATTTAAGTATCAGTCTTCACACGCTATACCTCTCCTTCTCACTTTATAGATCTTTGGCGGAAAGACATATAATGGAAAAGGTTTGCCATGAGTCATAAACTTAAATCACCGTAATCACAGTTGTGTCAGAGAACTTGCATAATTGGTCTTCAGTAACCCATGCTTGTCGTAAGGGGCGACTAACGGGATCTGGTGGTCAAGCACGCTAACCTGGTTGACACATGTCATCGTATCCCAATTGCACAGAGTGATGCTTATCATATTGATCACTAGATTGTTTGGTCCAGACGATCATTTACAGATTGGAATACCTGGAATAATGCCGAGTACGGCGTTAAACAGCCAACCAACCAACCAACCATAACCATTTTGCATATTTCAACAGCTAAAGGTTTGACAGATCTTCAGTCACCTTCGAGACACCCTCTTCTTCGCTCTAATTCCGCTTCTCAACTTTTTAGTGTGACAAATGAAGTAATTTCATCCCTTAAAGTTGACACAATACCAAGACCCTTCAGTTGTAGATTACAGCATGGTACAGTTTTTATCAACAGTGAACACCTGGTCACTTTGGTGCTTGCTGAATTATGGTTTCATAATCTGTCAGCTTGGATATTGTTGTACTGAATACATGAGATTCATCCTTCGGTATTTTATCAGAGTCACGTGAACCAATCAAAACTCGACATTCTTACATGAGGCTGGACAAGGTGCGTTATCAATATCGCGGCAGAGGACGAAAATATTGATGTCACTCACAAAATGCGGAATCGAACCCTCAGCCTTTGGAACATCGACGCTTGGTAAAAAGAATCAGAATACAATCACCCCTGCTACATGATTACCTGTCTCGAGGATCAATTTCTAAGAAGGCGAAAAACTTTAAAAA